GTGTGTGTGTGTGTGTGTGTGTGTGTGTGTGTGTGTGTGTGTGTGTGTGTGAATTTCAATAACAAAAAGGTAAAAAAGTTGTTCATCCATGCCATTTACAAAGGCAGAGCAGGCCTGAATAGCACTCTACCAGGAAATGACAGTAATTCTCTCCCCTCCGGGGAAAGAGGAAGGCGTCTACCATCAGCCACCACAGTCCTTTAGCTGACAGCCAATAAAACTGACCTGCATTGCAGGTGAAAGCAAGGTGTGGGATGGTTCTCACTGCCGCTAATGACTGCTGTGAGAGCGAGGATACACGGTGGAGCAAGCACATTAACAAGGCACATCCACTCACATTTTGTTGGGACATGTGCTCATTATTATCCCTAAGCTTATTATTTTATTACTTATCTCATTCAAATCTTAATCCAAATGCTTTGGAATCACCTAGCAATAGGATTCAAACCCTGACACTTGCAAACTGAGTATCCATTTCCTCACCTGGAAAATAATACCACTTCCCTACCTGATGGAATTAGACGGAAATGACATAACAAGCAGGCACTTAATGCCGTGCCAGATATACGGAAGAGTTAGCTCACTCACTGCAGCAAGGGCTGTCTTACCTTACATAATCCCATGCACTGTGTAGTACATGATCTAGGTGCCTAATCGTTTGCTAAATTTTAAACAAGAAGTCCACAAAAGGTTAACAGAAGAGGTGCAAAACAGTGGCAGATTGAACACCTTCAGATGAAGCAAAGTGCTTTCTGCAACACCAGGCTGCCTCTCTGATGGCTTGAAAATATACCTCTTTTTGATCCCATTGACAGAAGTTTTACAGTAAGCTTGGGCCCAATTATTAATTTAATATAAGCAAATAAGATACTTTATTTAGCTTTCAAGCTTCCTTCTTTTTATTCATCCCCTCATCTAAGATCCTTGTTCAGCAAAGTGTTGTTTTACCCACAGGAGAAATCCATTTTTTTATATTTGTTCAATTTTTTAAAGTTAAATGTACTTAGAAAGTCATACGGGACTCAAACTTTATTCAGACATCCAGAGCTGCAAGCCACCAAGACAGGAAGACAGCAGGGTCATGCTGAGTTTGTACACAAGTTCCCCAGCCTCTGGTAACTGGCCAGTGCTAGCTTTCTGAGCCTCTAAAACCAGAGGGCACTGTAACCTCCTGAAATATTTTCCAACCATCACAACAAAAGTGTTTGAAGCCCAAGATGAAAGGCTGTGATCAAAGAGGCCAAAGGTATAGGCTGCTATGAGAAAAAAACACAAGAGATGGTTTCCATGTGACAGAGGACAGGAAATGTGTGGGCAGGAGGTGCTCAGGGCTGGGCTTCCTACCACTGCAAAGAATGGTATTGTGTACAGTGGCTGTGGCAAATGGCTTCCACCCCACAAGAGCACAGAAAACAAAAATAAATCCTCCCCGTAAAGGTGTTGAGCTCGAGGCAGCAGGAAATGCTGGGATATTCCTCCTTCTCTATACCATAGTACTCGTACAACACGCTGTGTTGAGCTCCCACGTGTAAGGCCCACTACCGAACAAGAGGCATCGAAAAAGAGTATCAACAGCCAGTGGGAATTGAGTAAGGTCCAGAAACAGGAAAAGACATCTAATCAGAGCCTCTCATCTACCATGTCTCTACCTACATCAGCTTAAAAAACAAAAAGACACCTAAAAATCAGAAACTCAGTGAGAGTAGAGTGGAGGGTAATGCATGTTTTTAAGCTTGAAGGAATAATAGTTCTACAGCTAATTCTTCTGTATAAGGAATTGGAACCACTGAGCACATCAAAAGAAGCCTAAAAACAAAGTCACTTGTAATGAGCTTTCAGCTACATGTAACTCAAAACTCCAAAAGCAGTCTGCAGGTGTTGCCCTATTGCAAATGGTGAAAAGACACACCGAAGATGAATGTTTCCTGCTGATGGTCACTGGATTAGATAAATCACCTCTGAGACAATAACTAATTCAGTAAATGGGAACTTAGTATCACTGAGAGCAAACAAAATCTGAATATTAAAGACTCTGAAAATTCCTTGATAAAAAAATTACTGTCATTTCCAGGTCTCAACCCCTTTGTCTTAAAGTTCAGATGCTTTTCTTATTCAAAATAACTGTTCATCAAATGAGACTAAAAATAATCCAGAAGCCTCATAAAGCTATATAGTATCTAAATTTCAAAGCAAATTAAGTTCCTCAATCATGTTAATGAACTAGTATCCCTAGGAATGGCAAATCATGGCCCATGTGGGCAGGAGGTGCTCAGGGCTGGGCTTCCTACCACTGCAAAGAATGGTATTGTGTACAGTGGCTGTAGCAAATGGCTTCCACCCCACAAGAGCACAGAAAACAAAAATAAATCCTCCCCATAAAGGTGTTGAGCTCGAGGCAGCAGGAAATGCTGGGATATTCCTCCTTCTCTATACCATAGTACTCATACAACACGCTGTGTTGAGCTCCCACATGTAAGGCCCACTACCGAACATGGGCCAACAACCTGTTTTTATAGTTTTATTGGAATATAGCCATGCCCGTCAAGAAAAATTAATGAATTTTCTTAATTCATTGCTGACTCCTTATCTAGAGCTGTTCTCAAACTTCAGTGTTAGCCCAAGCTTTCTACCAAGTTACCAGGTAGAACCTGGTAGAACCTGGTTACCAGGTAGAACTTCTACCAAGTTACCAGTGAGAAACACCAAAATTTGAGAACCACTGTTCGAGATCAGTGCTTCTCAAACTGAAATATGCACATGAGCTATATGGGAACCATGCTTAAAAAAAGATTCTGCCCCAGGGGTGGGGCTTGAGAGTCTCCTGATTTTCAAATAAGTTTCTCAGTTATGTCAATACTGCTGGTCAATGAACTTCAGTTGAGTAGCAGGAATCCAGAGCAGTGCTTCTCCAATTTGGCTGCACATCAGAATCACTTGTGTAGCTGTGAAAGTACAGATGCCACCCGCAGAGATTTTCCACCGCAATTCTGTTTTTAAGTTCCCCAAGTGGTTCTAATGTGCAGCCAAGTCGGAGAACCCCTACAAACACAACTCATCACTTCAGCAGTCAGCTAAATTTAAAACAGTATCCTCAACATAGTTTGTTTCCTATATATATACCACCCAAAACAGAAATAGGACTGCTAGCATGATATATATAAATATGCCTGAACTTCAGCCAGCAGATCTGTTCTATACAAGCTGTGTCATGAACTCTGATCATAAGCAAGTTACAAATCTGAGCTTCGATTTCCTCACCTAATGAGGATTGTAGATAACTGTGAGAACAAAATGAAAGAGTATGTGAAAGTGATTTGGAAGAGTACTGTGTCCTATAAAAAAACATATATATACACAACCCTCACTTTTTGCACTCTGCTTACATTGCCTAGAAGACGTGTTTCACTTTACACCACTAAAGCATGTTGCAACAGATGTTAACTGTGGAAGCAGCACACACTTAGTTCAATTTCTAACAGAGTGTTTAATGATGCAGTACCAGGCATGCATTGTATCCTAAGAGTGGAACCAAGTGTAACAATTGAGGGATTAGTAAAGGATTACCAGCTGGGGGAAAAGACAAAGGACTCTGTCATTTCCCAGGGGTTGTCAGCACTGCCTTTTGTCATTAACTTCAAATACACTTAATGAAAACATGGAAGTAGAGACACAATTGCAAGTTATCACTCCTAAAGGCTTTGTACAGGATTGAAAGAAAAAAAGGATCTTAATACAAATAAAGAAAACAAAAATCAGCACCAGAGTCAAAGGAAGGAGTGGCATGGAGTTTTTTAATTTGGAAGGCAAAAAGGTTACACATAATGGAAGGCAGAGCCCATATTAACTAACCTACGTTACAAAGTTGCTCTGACATAGCCGGAACTCTTCTAGGCTGTCTACCTGCATCCCAAATCATAACTGGTAGTAAGCATAAATGTGAAGAAAATCCGTGTGTCCAACAAGCTGCCATCTCAAGAGTTCTTATCCAGAGGAAATCAAAGAGCGAACCTAAAAGAAAGAAGCAGAAAGATGAGATATCCAAGGCTTAAAAAAAGTCTTATGATATTACAGACAGGGCCCCAAATCCTTCAATCTAAATTCTAACCCCATAAAGACAAAAACAGTTAGTTATGGAGTTCCCAAATTCTGGACAACAATCAGAAGAAAGCAAATATTTTTCACAGAACATTTCACAGAAGTACCCATAAAAATTAATGTTTCAATCTCAATTCTAAGCACAACAAGGCAAAACTGGGAACTGTAAACATGAGTTCTAACTCCAGCTCTACAATTAATCAGCTGTATGAGTTTACATACATCACCCTGACCTCTCTGACCCACAAACTCACAGAGGTGAGGGGGTTGAAATTTAGTCTATAAAGAACTTTTCTGGGTCCAGAAAGTTTATAAAGTACTTAATTTATAGTTTGTTCCCCTCTTCCCTCCTTAGGGGCAGGGTGGGGAACAAGAATTCAAGAAAGTAAGTAGAGAAAAACTGCCAATCTCAGATTTAACAAAGGGCCAAAATAAAGGAACATGGTTTTCACTTAAAGAGAAGGTTATTTTTGGCAACATACTGAATGACTCCAAGAGGAGCAGCCACACTGCTGCCAGTCAGATGAAACTGGGACCTGCAAGTTGCTCGCAGGTAACACGGGGTTCCTTTCTAGTCCTTCCAGGAGAGCTGCTCACGTAGTGTGCTCCAATATGGGCGTGGCCAAAAACTGACCCCTTGTCCCTAGGGGGACTCCGGGGTCTCAATTTTCTGGCAGCGTGCTGTAATCTTCTGTGTGTCATGACTTGAAAAGGGCTGGAAAAGAATCCCTTTCAGAAGAGCTGAGCTACCCCAGTAAGTGAAAGGGCATCACCGTACCTTACATATTGGCTCAGGTGACCTGGAGATGCCAGCATCAGAGGTAAGGAAAAATCTCAAGACTTCTAACCAGGGTGCTTTTACTTCACTAACAATGGTATTTAGAGAAATGCTACATAATTGCAGACTATTTCTACATCAGTGGGACAGTGAGGAATGTGCAAAAGAAAGCAAAAACAGGGAACAAAAAGGGTTCACAGTGCTAAACAAGAGCAAACAGGCCTACTAAAACACACCTATTCACTCCAAATTTCTTAAAGCAAAACTCTGGCAACAGACTGTAAACTATTAAAACACATCCGTTCTATTGGCCAGGGTAAGAGGAGACTAGGGCATAGGGCCGAATCAGTGAAGAACCTTGACACATTAAGAATTACAAAAGAAATCCTAGTACAAAAGTCAAGTTTTGAGATTCTACAATATTAAATCTTAAGACATTGGAGCTGGTCCATCTAGAAGGCAAAAATGACTCATTAAGTCTCTTTTTGATAGTGGTTTTCAGAAAATTCTACTTAACAAAAATCTCTCCTTTCTTTTAAGGCAAAGATACATTTACTAGAGAGTATTCTAAATCCAGAGGTTCTAGGATTCTTTTAGCTCAAAAAAAAAAAAGGACTATTCAACAGCTCAGAAGAATGGTTTCAACTACTAACCAGGAAATAAAGGTTTCAGGAAACGAATATTACTTCCTCCCCTGACACCAAGACATGCAAGATGGCAGACACCTACTGAGAAGAGTTAGCATGACTTCTGCAGTCTATTTCACCCATGCAGAAAAGACTGTCATTTGGTCAGTCTGTTCTAATCATTTTTTTAAAAGTAAGGCACAACACAAAGAACTGTTAAAAATAATTACTCTCTGTTTAGATACAAAAGATAATGCCAACAGGATCATTTCTGTTTGGAATCTGTGCTCTCTTCCAGTGCCACTTCTATTCAGACACCAGCGAAGAGCAAAAATGCTCAACTACTGATTTCCCTTCAAATCCATCTCATTCTGGATCCTGGTCAGCCAATTAATACTGAAAATAGAGAAAGTGTGAATCAAAGACCATTCTGCAGAAGTCCTAGGTTTAGAGAGCTCAATTTGAATCACTATAATTTCAGAAGGTACAGACTATACATTTCTAAAAATGAAAGGAGCTTACAGAGATCAACTAGTCCAATCCTCTTATTTTATAGATGAGGAAACTGCAACCTGGCAGTTTGACAGATTTGTCCAGAGCTGTGCTGTCCAGTACAAGCCACAGGTGACTTATTTAAACTTAATTAAAATTAAATAAAAATTACAAATTCAGTGCCTCAGCCAGCCACATTTCAAGTGTCAATAGCACAGGGGGCTAATGACTATCCTACCAGGTAGTAAAAACTTAGAATACTTCCATGCTGCAAAATGCTACTGGACAGCACTGATCCACATCGCCCTCCCTGGATACAGTCAGGTCTCCTGATCTGTAACTGCATTTCTTCTGGATCATACGAAAGATGATCCAACTTTGCAGAAACATTTTATATAGCCTGTTTTAATCCTTTCCTATCAACCTCTCCTGAGTTTTTCCCATTTAAAAAAGAGAAGTTTAATATTTTTAATGAAAAACTAACAATTTGTGTGTGTTCACCATCCAAAAGGCTTTGGACTTAACAGTAAGAAAGGAATATAAAATCTTTAGTCAAAATGTCTGTCATCAAGTTCCCACTCTAGCACTTACTAGTTCCAGGGACTGGACAAGTCAACTTGAATCTCACCAAAGTTTAGTTAGTTACTCATGTGTAAAATGGGAATACTGCTATTTGTCTATCTCCATCACAGAGTGAGCTGTTAGGATCACCTGGGTTAATGTGTATAAAAGTATACATGCAGTGTGAGTTCTGCAAGCCTGGTAATGTGACAACTATAAAACATTTTACAAATATTGTCTAATTTTGGAAAAAGTCTATACAAACATTGTGCATTTTGTTATAACTCAATTTAACTTTCCCCCTCCTGTGAATGGAGGATGGGAATCTGGTAATACAGATAAAAAGTAACAAGAAAAAAAACAAGAAGAGGAAAAAAAGAACAAAGCTCAGCTGAGGATCCTCATAAACAACACGATCTTCAAACACAATGGAAACTATCATGAATTCTATTAATCAAGAGACTTTAACAGCTGTAAAAGCCTGATGAACATCCAGGTTAATTCCCTCACTGTGTGTACACAGGGAAGCTGAGCCTCGGACAAGATTTTTGTCAATTCAACTAGTTAATAACAGAGCAAAATCTGTAACTCAGGTCTTCTGACATCTAGTCTCATGCTTGTGTCCACCCCACGACCCCTCATATGAATTTTTTCCTTGGCTTCTTTGTTGCACAGCATTTCCACATGTCATAGCATTTATGTAACTAGTGACATAGCTATTTTTATAGCATTTTCTTGCAGTTGAAAATGATTTACACATTCACATACTCATTCAACAAACATGCATGATGACTGTCAGCCCTGTGCTAAGCCCTGAGGCCCCTGCCCTCTGGGAATTTAAGAGTTCCGTGGGACAGACAGGAAAGCAAATGAACAGTTTCAGAACTATTTGCCAAGCAAAACATTAAAGGCATGCACAGTGGACCCCCCAGCATCAGAAGAGGCTCCTATGCAACTGAGAGTGGGGATGACATGGAGTAGGAATGTCTGAGCTGCTTGGAGAAAATGAGGCAGGGGGTTGGGGCAGTGCTGACCTTCATACAAATCTACTTGGCATTCTTTTTCCTTTTCTTTCTTCTTTCTCATCTTTTTTTTTTTTTGTAGGTTTAAATGAACCAAATACAAAATAGAGCTCAATCACCAAAGGAGTCATCAATTAGTTTTTTTAATAAACACGCAGATTCAAGGTCTTAAGAGTAATAGGTAAATACAATGAGATAACACCTTACACAAATTAAAATGGCCACTATCTAAAAGACAAGAAATAACAAGTGTTGGTGAAGATATGAAGAAAGGAACCCTCCTACAGACTATTGGTGGGAATGTAAATTGGTGCAGCCACTGTGGAAAGCAGTATGGAGATTCCTCAAAAAACTAACACCATACAACCCAGTAATTCCACTTCTAGGAATTTACCCAAAGAAAACAAAATCCCTAATTCAAAAAGATACATGCACCTGTGTGAACTGCCAGGTTATTTACAATAGCCAAGATAAAGCAGCAGCCAATGCCCATCAATAGATGAATGGATAAAGAACAGGTGGTACATATACACAATGGAGTATTATTCAGCCATTAAAAAAAGAAATCCAGCCATTTGCAACAACAGGTAACAACCTAGAGGGTATCATATTCAGCGAAATAAACCAGGCAGAGAAAGATAAATAGCATATAATTTCACTTATTTGTGGAGTCTAAAAGCAAAACAAAATAACAGGAGACTCACAGACACTGAGAAGTTACTGATGTTTACCATGGGGGTGGGGGTGCGGTAGGAAGGCAGGAAGGGTGAGGTAGATAAAGGGGTACAAAAATTCTCAATCATAATATAAGTTGGTCACAGGGATGGTAGTACAGCATGGAGAATATACCCAGTGATTCTGTAACATCTTCCTATATTAACAATAGTAACTACACTAGTGGAGGTGAGGATTTAACAATATGGGAACTGTTGAACCACTGTGTTGTACATTTGAAACCAATGTAAGATAGTGTATCAATGGTACCTCAATTTTTTAAAAAAGGACCAAATGAATCTCACCCTCTAACCAGGGAAAAAGGGGGTTGAAAAAGAGACTGTACTGTGCTTAATTCAGTATGCTCTGCAAATTTAGAATAGTTTCCTTTTTGAGAACTTACTGGGTGGCTAGACCTAATTCAATAAAAAGTGAAATGTCAAAGAGAAGATGGAATAGAAACTCACAGCCCCATTTCCAAACAAAAATATATAAAGAGATTATTGCTGACAGAAGTCATGCTGGGAGAAAAACAGGTTTAGAATGAACCAGAAAGGGAGTCCCTGAACTTTCAAGAAAAGAAAAGAAAGGGAAAATCTGTCAGTCTTTGTGCACATGGTCTTACATGAGCAACAAAATCCTTGAGTCACTTCAAGGTTGCAGGTCCTTTTGTGCTTAACTCGACATTGCCCACTTCTGGCCACAATATAAAGTAACCCC